ACAATTAAGGAGAGTAACATGTTATTTTTCACTACATAATGCTTAATGTGCCAGTTGAGCAAGAATGTTCTGTTATAGTGTATTTGATAACTTCACTGGCTGTGTCATTGATTTGCATAAATGCACACTTATTGTTCATACAGCTTTTAATCAATATTGTTATTGGCAATTAGCAAAGATAATTTATTAGGTTACTTATATGATTCAGCGGTAGGAGACGTATTTGACTGTGTAATTTACCGAAATAAAAGTTATTAATGAAGAAAGTTAAGGCTTGGAACAAAAGCTAAGCTAGCATTTCAGAGGAGCTTCATATAGCCGGTTATATTGCAAAATGTTTCAAGTTTTGTTGTGTGAGATCTAAAATCTTATTACCTTACTGTAATCTCACGATACAGAGAGAGATGTCAGGCAGCGTGAAAGTCTCAATTATGGATTTCTATATTATCCATATTTTGCGCTCACGCTCACTGAAATATACGCGCAAACGCATATATATGTAGCTGGATACTAGCAAAGTAGAATTCAGAGTATATAATCATCTTAACCGCATTATAGATTTGACTAAATAAAATGAATTGGCCGCGAATTCAACTAATCATAACCCTTTGAAGAAGGTAATTTTTCGTAAGTCCTCATCATCCTAGGAAAAATCTTCATTAGTGTTAAACGAGAAGTATTTCGTACTGTTTAATATATGAAATGTGTAGTAAGAGCTAAATAAAATACACTTGGAAAATTGATTTAACTCTAATAATTTTAAGGTCAACAGTTATGTTTTTGATAATGGTTTGCAACTTTGTCAATTGTTCTGGATATTTTAGTCTTGTGAAACCGGATTAAATTGTAAGTCAGTACAGCCATTTACCAGTGATGAAACCGGATTAAACTGTAAGTCAGTACAATCATTTACCAATAGTGAAACTGGACTCAACTGCAAGTCATTATAGCCATTTACCAGTGCATTGATTGTATCGAACTTTATTTATGGTCTACTATGATACACACGTCCTCTTTCAACTGTTTTATTTTGTTTTCCCTTCTCTTTTGGAAGATTCAAGATCAATTCATCTCAAGTCAGAACAAACCTCTTCGACTTCGGACTCTTAAACTTACACATGCACCAACACCAGTTTCATTATTTTAAGAATGATAATTTAATTTCGGTTTATCAACTAACCGTTTTACTACTTAAAATATCAGTTTACGTATTTATTGTTGCACCAGCCTGAAATCTTTTTTACTTATCCTTCTTTTAGTTGTCTGGATTTCGTTTTGGTTATCGTCAGAGACATCCTCTTTATAATGTAACATGCCTTTAGATGAAATGTCACATTGTAAAAAGGTAAGCTTTTTGTCGTCAACTACAGTATTGTGTGCCTCGTGTTTTAAAGAAACCGTACATTTGTTGAAGATGGTACAAGCATGGATATCGGCCTACGTTAAGCTTCTGTTTACACCTACTTAAAATGCACATATTTATAAGCTTGTGTTGTAGACTTTGTTTGACAATGTTAACATCAAACTACTCGTGATTATATTGAAAGTTACTCGACATCCACTATTGACAACAAAGTAATGGTAATGATGGGGAACAACAGACAACCAAAGTGATGATAAATATATATGGTTTTTTTTATCTACTTTTCCGTAATATGATCTTCTCAGAGTTTGTCAATGAAAGAAACCATAAACTGTAATTTTTCTTTCTTCACTAGTAAAATTTGTACAAATGAAAAATTGTGAAACGATATCTTAGCTTTATGTGCAAAACTGTGTTTATGTTTTTATTAATCATAAACTGATTCCTACTTTTGGCATATTTTTTTACGTATTCTTCATAAAATAGAATTATCTGATACAGCCATTAGTATAATATGAAGTGGTTAATAGTAGGTGTGTAGATTCACTGCCACCAGCACCTTTTTTTTCTGAAAAAAAAAAGGTATTCAAATTTTTTACTAAGTTATTTATTTTTATGGTTATGCTATTTACTTTTTTCAATATAACACCGTATTTGTATTGAAAAATACAGTGCTATATTTAATATAGCAATAAATTAGTGTATGCTTTTCATGGGTTGGCCGTAAACTTGATGGTTGGTGTGCGGGGCACTTTTTTCAATATAACACCGTATTTGTATTGAAAAATACAGTGCTATATTTAATATAGCAATAAATTAGTGTATGCTTTTCATGGGTTGGCCGTAAACTTGATGGTTGGTGTGCGGGGCTACGGATCTGAATGTTACAAGTTTGAGTCTCGATATGACGCTGAATGTACAAAACTACGAAAGTCAATCCCGCTATTCGGTTAAGAGCAACCGTGTAGGAGGCTGCTACTGATAGATTGCCCTCCAGTTCTAATTTAGGGATGGCTATGCCTGAACTTAGGGTCTCTGACCTGGCGTATATTAGCTGATGGGTTTCGCAAGGTGCCCTTCAGACTGAAAATAAGAAACCCTGTTTTTGATGGCTTTTTAAAGACAGCGGTAAGTTTATGGATTTACAGCGATGGGCACAGCAGATAGCCCAATGTGGCTTTGCTCCGAAGGAATCAAATTAAATAAACCAAAAGAATATATGCTGATAATATGCGATTCTGACCATTTTGATTTGATTTGATTTTTTTTATAACACGACCATTGATGGAGTAATGATGATCAGCTTACGATTTATTTAGTTATGATAATTTTGATAGAAAAACAAAACAAAAAGGAATACCAACTACAGTAAGGCCACAAGAAAGCTTAACGATTTCGTTAACAAATTTGTTATTTATAATTAAAATATAAGTTTCTTTATTCAAACTAATGAACTATTTTGATACGTCTAACATGATTGAACTATTGTTTGATCCGTTTGCTTCATTTGATGTATTAAAGAATTAGATTGTTTGTTTAAGTTTTCTAAAAGTGAAACACATTTCCTTAAAATACTCTCCATCACTGTATACGTGTTTACATGCTTTCTAATACCAATTTGATCTTTATATCCGAGAATACCTTGTACATATATCACATAATGGAATCAACAAAACATTTATCCTACCAAACGTACGTTCATATAAGCCATCCATTGTTTTATCTTACTCGAAATTTAAATCGAGATGAAAATAGAATTTTTAACGCCATCGCCAAAGCAAGAGACTGCAGATATTCAGGACGAGAAGAGCACATTGTTAGAGAGGTGCGTGATTTGACAGTTTCTAATTGGAAAGTTGAAATATAAAAAAAAATAATAGTATATGTCAACTTATTTTCAGGCATCAGTATTGCAATGTTCTTCACTGAACTTGAATTGAGATGATAAAACTCAAGTCCGGTTCTATAGATAATGGAACAGTTAAATTGAGTAGTAGGAAATGGAAAGAAAAATGAGCCAGAGAAGTGATTTAAGTATTGTGACAGGTGTAGTTGAAATCTTGAAGAGACGTTTGTTGCATTTTTGAATCTTTATATATATATTTCAGATTGTATAAACCAAAATAAAAAAACAGTAAGAAACATTACTAAATATCGTTTGTATCAGCACTCACACCAAAGTATCACGTTAACTGAACCTGACTTTGAACATGCAGAGAGCTGAAACTGAAACTGTAAAAGTAAATGCTTTAAGTAGAAACATCTACAGTGAAGGGTTTGTTTGTTTTTGAATTTCGCGCAAAGCTACACGAGGGCTATCTGTGCTAGCTCCCTAATTTAGCAGTGTAAGACTTTTGGGCTACTATTTTATCTGTAACTTAGTAACTCTGGGCCTCTGTAACTTAGTAACTCTGCCTTAAATACTAATGGGACAGCTATATTTTTAGGATTTTTGTCATTAGTGAGGATATTTCACTTTCAAAACATATATAATATTTCATTGCCTATCATATACATATATAATATTTCATTGCCTATCATATACACATATATTAAATAGATGTTTCGTACCTTTGATGAGTCTATTAGCATTCAGAATAGAAACTTTAACAAACTTATATAGTTTAATCCAATGGAAATACCGAGTTTTCATTTTGTCTTAACTCTTGCAGGATTTGCAATGGATATTAATTGAAGATCTATGTTGCGGTATTGCAATTTTCGTAATCGTAAATAATTAACAAGAGTTGGAAAAATCATACGATATTAGTTAACAGCTACAATAAATATGTGTAAAAAAATACTTCATGGGATTACTAATAAATAATATGAGTAAATATGTGTGTATATTGATACACCCATAACGTGTTCTTTTAATTTGTAAATGTTCTTTAAAGAAAAAAGGCAGAAACACTATTTGGACTAAAATTACAAAATGGCAGGGTGTATATCTGCTTATACATTTATTATTTATTGTAAGCTCTAGGACTATCTGAAAAGACACGAGAAAATTTGGCAACATGTACTTTTCAATTAATATCGGGAAAATCATGCCAGCTGTAACCATAAAAATGCTTAGTTAGTTATATGTAATAACGTTATCTTATGCTTAAGTTAACTTAAGTACGGTAAATAAATTCATTTACTTGAAGAAAAAATCAAATGATGTACCTGATACAAATGACATGCCAAAACGAGAAAGAAAAACTGACAATAATTTATTTGAGAAGGTTTCAATTTTTTTGGCAACTTTGTCTAAAGATATATTGCAAAATTTGCAACGTCAGCGGTTATACGAAGTGTAAAATAAATTTATTATTGCTATGCAGTCAATTTCTATAGTTGAAACTCAAATAAATATTGAATTAAATTTCAAAGATTTCGTTTTTTTTTTCAGAATTAAGTATTTTATGGACTTTATACTTAACTCTAGAATAATAGTTGTAAGAAATTTATAGAAAGTTTAAAAATAAAAATAAACAACCTTTATTATAATTGCATTTTCGGCTTAGTTTTGTTGCAACGCTAATTTCCCTTAGGTTATTTGATTATGAAGGAAAAATGGAAAATTATTTACTTTTGGGCTTAAAATATAACCTCATTTACATGACACGCTTTTACACAGCACATACTTTTGTATATTTCTTTGTGTTTGAGAACTCTGTAAACACTGACATGATTACGTCTGTATAACGTTTAACTGCTTGTTTTCCAACGTTATCTGAACCTTATTTGTTTAATTCTAAACATCGGTAGCGAAAATTAGCCTCAGCCATTCTTTTCCTAGAATGATTCATTATTCAGCATCAACGAACACCTCTTCTAAAAAATCGATCGGCTTTCCCGGAATGTGAACATGAGGCTCAATTACCTCTAAAGTTGAAGGCTTGCTATGCAAATTACAAAGGCTGACTGAAGTTAGAACTCAGGGAGGAAGAAAGAGGACTTGTTTACTGTTCGGAGTTGAACTATTCTATTTGAGTTAACGTTTCTCAGTCTTGTGTATTCCAAGAACCATCTCTTCGGGGACTTTTGGTCTCAGTGGACCAGACTGGATCGAAGAAAAGAAAGACTAAACAGGTAAGACCAACTTAAGTTGTTGCCTAGGCGAATGGTAATAACATTTCGTGCAGGGAAATGTGACGTATGAGTTTGAAGAAATATTATTTTGATGGAGGCGAGCAAAATAAAAAAAAACAAACATGGAAGACTTCAAACGTTTGTTTTAGTGGAATGAGTTTAAAGAAGTGAAAAACGTTTTAGAAGTAAAATTAATTAGTCATCACTCTATTCTAAAACATGTCAAGTAAAAACTATATCTAAGCTATCATATACACACACATATATATATAACTTTTTCGGACAACTTGGCCGAAAGAAACAAATGAAATTGGGTTCAAATTACAACATGAGAAGGGTAAATCCTACCCAAGTAAGTGACATACCAACATAAGTATAGAAAACACAACGGCAGGGATACACCGTACGTTTAGCATGTTTTATCTTTATTTACAAGTATAAAATGCGAAATGAAAATATCAAAGCTAAATGAATGCATGTTAAGACTAAGATACGAACACTAAAGACTAAAACACCAAACATCTAAAACCATTGTTCGCCATCGTAATGAAATTGAAAATAAGGGAAGGGAATTAAAAGGGATAGATGATGTACCCACACCTCTTTGTGGGTCATATATTGGCAGATATCCCTTTTACCCGGAGTTTATTTGTCTGTCTTATGTGTTCGGCGCTATTCTTTGACCTATTCTTTTGAAATTTGTTATCGATCTATACTAGATAATTGTTATTAAACACACAGTTACACAATGGACTATCTGTTATGTGCGAACCACTGGTATCGAAACCCGGTTTTTAGCGTTATAAATTTCCAAACTTACCGTTCAGTCACTGGAGAAATTACTTCAAATTGTTAAAAAAATTATTTTAATTAAAATCAATTAACTACTAGACTTAATTACAATATTTCTGTTTTGACAAACAAGATTCGTAATGAAACACTACTGAATTTTTACCACAAATTAAGAAGGTTTAATAAGAGTTTCTTTTTTTATACAACTTTTAAAACTAGAAGTTTTAAGAAGACTTAAGATCATCAAGGGTGAATTTAAAAGAAATTAAAATAAAGTCCTTTCTGTGAACATTTTAAAATTCTTAATGAAAGTAATAAAGCTTGAGGACTAATTTAAGAAAAAATAATAGAATATTTGCACTAAGTTAAAACAAAATTGAGACTTTAAAATATTTTATAACAGTAACATATAGGATTGTTTGTTTGTTTGTTTTGAATTTCGCGCAAAGCTACAAGAAGAAGAAGTTGAATGCATTTTTAGTCAAAATCGTTTACGAAATCTTTTCTCATTTTATTCAAATTACACACAAAAAAAACAACAACAACAACAAAAACTGAAAGATTGATGAGAGAAATAAAAGTTAGCGAATATCTTTAGGTTTCCGAACTTTCTGGAAACTTTTCTCCTTAACACACTACATTCTCTAGGTTGTTATATCCTTACATCTTCTAAGTGCTTTAGTTGTTACCTCCTTAACACAGTACATCCACTAAGTGATTTAATTGTTATCTCCTTAACACACTACATTCTACTGGGTGCTTTAGTTGTTATCTCCTTAACAACACTACATTCTCTGGGTGCTTTAGTTGTTATCTCCTTAACACACTACATTCTCTAGGTTGTTATATCCTTACATCTTCTAAGTGCTTTAGTTGTTACCTCCTTAACACAGTACATCCACTAAGTGATTTAATTGTTATCTCCTTAACACACTACATTCTCTAGGTGCTTTAGTTGTTATCTCCTTAACACACTACATTCTCTAGGTTGTTATATCCTTACATCCTCTAAGTGCTTTAGTTGTTACCTCCTTAACACAGTACATCCACTAAGTGATTTAATTGTTATCTTTTTAACACAATACACTCTCAAAGTGCTTTAGTTGTTATCTCCTTAACACACTACATTCTCTAGGTTGTTATATCCTTACATCCTCTAAGTGCTTTAGTTGTTACCTCCTTAACACAGTACATCCACTAAGTGATTTAATTGTTATCTTTTTAACACAATACACTCTCAAAGTGCTTTAGTTGTTATCTCCTTAACACACTACATTCTCTAGG